CTGGCTAAAGGTCTGCGCTGATTGGCCTGATTTACTCAATAATTACTCTTTTATTATAAATAATAAAAAAAAAATGATTCAGGACTTTTCGACTCAGTTTTACTCCTTCTACCTGCCTACGAGAGATTGTACGGCAATTCTGGGACACCCTGTATATTTAAGTTGTACTATAAAATATATCACGTGACTTGTCACGGGCCAATATATCGAATATACGTCCGATTATATACTTTTTCGAACCGTGTAAATTGACACATGAAAATTCGAATTAAATTCAATTTGAATATAAATAAATCAATTCAAAAATACAGGACGACAGGATCTCTCGCATTCTGTGCAGACGCAATTTGATTGTCAATCTAATATTATCGATCTTAAAACTTAGATAAACATTTTCACGAGCTTTATAATTTGTTGCGATTTATTCGCACGTGTGAGGAAAGAAGTAAAATGAACAAATATAATTTTGACATATATTTATGCTTGCCTCGTGAGGCAAGTTCGAGTTAATTAGAGCAACCGCTGACGAAGTAATCTCGAGTATTCGCAACGCGAGAATCGAAATAATAAATAGTACGAGCGACACTGTGTGTGCAATTTCAAATGTGCCAGAGTGCGCTCACCGCGGGACGTCTATGTGCTCAGCACTGGGGCATGAAATTTATGACCACGATCTCTCGGCCGGACCATTCGTCAGGGACGATCGCGAATCTCAATCCCCGTGTACCCTGGACTTGACAGTAGAGCTCGTCGGAAGAAGACGGAGAATGCCCCGCAGATGCAGCTCGTATTACAAAGAGCCAGGAAAGATAACCTCGCGTTTTATCAAGACGAAAAAAAGAGAAGTCGCACGCGATTTCTCAGCGCAATTTGTTGTATTTTTGCAATATCTTCTCTCTCGCAAAACGTTTTGAACTCTAATAGAAAATGCGTTCGAATTATCTTTGATTTCATTATTGAGATTTCAAGCGCGCGACGAGAATATCGAAACTGACGTTCAAAGTCGAGATATAAGTACGTAAAAAAAACTTTACATCGCGTAACGTTTTCACGACGGCGCACGATAAATGACTGTCGCAATACCTGCCTTCGGCATGTCTAATGACATCGCGAGAGAAATGATTGTCGCAATCGCGCAACCTTCGTGCTTCGCCCCATGTGGCGAAAGGGCACATTAATTGTGCGGCGCGCGCAACGTTCGTGATTACCGCACCTCGCCGCGGAATCCTATAAATAAATTCTTAACCGCGACTGAGATCGCCGACCGACACCGTTCGACACCGGACACACTCGTGTCGTGTGTGTGTCGTTCCGCTCATTGTCATCGATCTCTCGGTGATCGAGCACCACGACCCACTTTATCCGGAGACACCTCCGTGTCAGCATCTGTGTGCACCGACGTGCGCGCGCGAACGAATAAAGTTCTCACGTAATAAATTGTCGAATCCCTCGTGCGCGCGAAGTCGCGCGAAAGCGTAAAATTCCGCTTCGTCGGACGTCTTCCAAGAGAAGCGATTGCTTTTACAACAATTTGGTTTTTCATATTTTTCATACGTGAAATGCAAAATCTACTTTTCCTCCGCGCGATTTTCCTCTGGTCGACAAGAACGTTCGTTCCGGTTAAATCAGCGCGTAACACACACACAGCGCGAACGCAAGCGAGCGAGTTGAACTTTTTAATGCGCGAGCTCTCTCGGCATTTCCGCGTTCCGTCGTCGATTTTCAAACGCGCGGCGTAATAACACACGTCGTGAATTTTTGCATCGCACGCTAGGAGAGAGACTCGGCGCGAGTCGAGCTTTCCATCACGCACAATGCGCATCGACCTGTTGCCAATCGCGAGGAATGGTTGTAATTACACGAAGAACGGCGACACACGCGCAATGACAGCCGCCGCTTACGATGCGACGCGTGTCCGAGCGGCGACAGCCGCTTGGAAAATTTCTACTCGTGCGCGATGATTTTCTAAAACTTTCGACCTAATCGCGAAATTCTCATTCTCGCGATCGCAAGATCGAGTTCGCACGACACATTTTTTTTTTTACGAGCGGGAAAATCGAAAATTTTGACCGGTCTTTTCGCGGAACGAGCAAAACGCAAGTAGTAAAATGCGACAATAGCCTGGCGCCGGAAGGGATAAAGTCGAGTTTTGTAAACTCGATACCCGAAGTGTTTTTTCGGAAAACAATTTTTCAGAAAAACAAAAACAAAAATAACAGCGTTTTATCTTGCGATTGCAATTTGTTGAATTGAAACACGACATAAATCTCGATGATTCAAAGATTTAAAATCTGGTGACGATAAATATGTATTTACGCACGCTCGTGTTAAACATTCGTCGACCGAGTAATTGCGAGTGACCTGTTTTTCCCATCAGATATTAATTCCGTCAATTATCGAAGCGACAGCCGATCATCATCATCAGAACGCGCCAGATGCGAAACGGAAGTCGGGTGTACGGTGCAGGCGGTGAGTCAGTGCAATTAGAACCGATTAAAGATGGTCTAAATGCGGCTCGACGATATGGATAGTCAAGCTCCTGCGTCTAGCAAGCGCGTCATGTCTAGTTTGTTGTGCAGACCCGCAAAGCGAGTCAGATTAATTGAACCCAATTAGAACCGGGTCGGGTGTGCGCGTGAGCCGATCGTCTAGTTTTTTTTTTTTTTTTTTTTTTTTTTAAACAACGCGTGTAATGTTATGCGGCCTGCCGTCTCGTTGCTCTCGTTAATGCTCGGACGACGTCGCGTCATTGCGCCGCGATGGGAATGTCTCGCGCGTGTCCAAAGGTTCACGAGTGTGTGATCGGCGCGAAAGTATCAATTGAATTAATCGATACGTTAATCGGCAACGGAAAGATATCGCGAGAACAAAGTATATTCTTGTTTATACACAGGAATGTCACACCGAAAAAATTATATTTTTATTTTGAGGAGAGATATCCCACTTACTTTAAGTATATTTTATACTAAAATAGGCGCTAAGAAGAGTTTCTTATTTTAAGANGAAAATCCTCTAAATAGTAATATTGATAAGAATATATACTGATTAGAAAATATAAAAAGCCTCTATAGAAAAACATATATATCTCACTATCGAAAAAGACTATATTCTTAAATAAAGAATATATTCTTAATTTCAGAAGAACATCATCTAAAATCTTTAAGAAGATTTTTTAAGTATAAAATCTTCTACTTACGAGAATATAATTTTTTCGGTGCAATTATCACGTTTTCTGTCTTAAAAAAAAACACCGACCTCAAAATCCGAAAAATTTATGTAAAACAAGGAGTGATAATTCTGGGTTGTCTCGCGCGCGCGGTTGTAAAAAAAAAAAATGACAAAGCTGGATTTTCGCAGCGCTATTTACAAAGTTACGCACGCACATGATCGCAGTCCTATATTAAGCGCGATGATATTTACTTACGAAACTTCCGCGTAAGCGCTTTTGCGTTGCGTCGTAAAGCAAATATTGTCGCATAAATAATGAGGGAATTAAAAATCTGTGAATATTCCACCGTGAGAGAGTTCAGGCGTGCGCACTCGCCGATGCTCCTCTCACCGTTTCACAATGCCGATCGCGCCATGTATCACGCCGGTAATGTTTGATTTCTGACTTTTTGTTACAGACCACTAACGTGACTGGCAGCAGCGTGGTGGAGAAGCTGTCGTTCTACAATCACACGGAATGCGAATGCAGAGCGAGGCACGAGTACGACGCGACCAACGAGAGAGGATTTCCGGATCAGAGAGCGTCCCGACATCATCATCACTCCTCGTCGTCGCCTCCCGAGAACATGAAGAAGCCGAAAAAGCCGTAAGTTCGTCGAGACGCACAATTTTAAGTTCGCGCGGCGCAATTGCTCGTAGAATAAACAATTCTCCGAACATGTGTGTAAAAAATATTTTCAAAAATTCTATATGTAAAAAATTTTATATGTAAAAACTTTTATATATAAAATTTTATATATTCAAGGATGTGAATTATAAATATATTACGCACATCCGTTTGTATGTTGTGATTCACTCTTCCGAATTCTTCGACTTATCGCGCCGCGTTGCACGTCTACGACCAGAAAGCAACCGTTCGATTCGAAAGACAGTTTTCACGCGCAATGTTTATCGCCAAAAAAAAAAAACAAAAAAAAAAAAAAAAAAAAAAAAAAAAAAAAAAAACAATTTATAGATGCCGGTGTCCGTCGCAATTCACGCCGAGGATCACGCAGGGCGTTTGTCAGTGTTATTGCTACGACAACAATGACAATTGCGTAAAGACCAGACGTGGAAAGGCACATTTCTCCCTCACGGACAGAATGTGAGTATGCGACTGCTGCTTTTGTGCAAAATTTCGCGACACACTTTTTGTTCTTCAAAAATAAAAATTTCAACGCGCGAAAGCGAACTTAAAAGTGCGAACGACGCGCACTACCTACATACTAATCGCCCGACATTTACAAGACAAAATATGGCCAGAGATATGTGTGTCCTTTGTGTGCCGCGTCGTAAAAATTTTCGGTCGCAATTTGCGAGAAAACGCTTGAAACTCTCTCCCGACGCTTAAACTTTAATCTTGCGCTTTTGTCAACACATTTGTATGCAAATACGACGAACACGCTCGCTCCAGTAACCCCAATGTTGCGAAAAGCCGTAACGAAAACCGCTTGAGCGCTTCTTTTAACAACGCCAGAACGAGATTAACGCTAGTTGTTTTTAATATTTAGAGAATAAACAAGCGAGGCAATGTTTTGTTTTGTTTTGTTTTTTTTTTTCATTATAATTCACGACGTGTATTTGACTTTCTGATCGCAGATGCATTCAGAAGAACGAGTGCGCGATGCCGCACTGCGAATTCGGCGATTACATAGAGTCGCGAGGCAAATGCCCGCGGAAGACAGACACCTTTAACGCGATGATGACGCCTTATCGCACGACTCTGCAGCACCGGCCCAGAAGCTAAGAGAAGCCGCAGGTTTAATAGCGCAGGATAATAGCAAAACCGAGGGGGGGAGGGAAGGGACGAGAGGAGGAGAGAATTACAAACGATCGCGCGCAAATACAATCGCGATCGTCGTGCCAATATAAGAACGAGGAGGGACAGCGCGGCGGCGAGAAACGCGCGCGGGAGAAGAAAAAACCGACGAGGTGCCATTTTTATTTTCTTCTTTTTCTGTTCAAGTGCCTTCGTGAGAGAAAGACTCATGTACTACACGTGTGTACTTCACGTTATTAAATAAAAAAAAAAAAATAAAAAAAAAAATAAAAAAAAAAATGTACACCGTGCGTCGCAATTATCTAGACCGCATATACATGTGTATTGTTGTCGCTTCTTCTTTTTGTTTCTTTCTATCGTGATCAACGAAGATACGAAGTGATATCGGATCGTCGATTTTCGATGATTACCAGTGATCGATCGTTACGGGGGCAGAGAGAGAGAGTAATAGTATTTTGATGTTTAAGTAATAATGTTTTTTTTTCGTAGCGCGATGTCACGGCGGCGGCTCGCCAACAAATAAAAATAGATAAGATAATCTCACACAATTTCAAGTGGTTAGAATAGAAACAATGTCACATTCTCTTAAAAAAAAAATCTTAAAAAATTTACTCTATGTGTAACTTACTCTAAAGTAAAATAAGTTTTGAAGGAAAAAAAGACGAGATATAAATTACTAGTTGCGATGTAAAACGATCGTATCGATAAAATGCTTACTAGTAATATAATTTGTTTTTTTTTTTTCAAAGACAGGAACGGTTAGAGAAAATAGCGTTCTTTAACAGCGAAGAATCTCGATACATGAGAAAAAAAACACTCGTAGAGTAGAAATCGACGAGCCGCTGAAAAAAACGTATACATGCATGTAAATATTTATGTACATATAAATAAACAATTTATTTATATGTATATAAATGTATACGTACGTATAAATTTATATTATATAAGATATATAATAGAACTGTGAGAGGGTGCGATATTTTAAGTTAAGATACGGTAGTTTTATACGATAAGCGACTATATACATATGGTTAGATTGTATAACGCAAAGTTTGCGCTGAGAAAAGACCTCGGGTGTGAACCTAGTCTGTGTGAGATCCCGTTTCTTTTCTGCGCGTGAGAATATCTCTCGATACATATCGATTCGATTCGGCAAATCTATTACACTCGCCATGTTCTTCTTCTTTTTTTTTTTTTTTTTTTTGTACGTGTAAAACCACACGATCAATAACTGCGGTCGAAAATATTTACGGAGTAAATAATAAAGATGAAAAAAAATATCAAAGTCAAAATAACACAGCGACCACGATTTCGACCGCGCAGAATCGAAACAGATCGCAAACGTGTATCCACATTTTTTGTATCTTATACAATAGAGTATCTTTATTGTATTTAATCGAACATTATAATACGCCACGTTCGCGTTAATTTAAATATTCAATCGGTAGATATGTGTAAAACACAAACGCGCGTTACGGTCGGGGCCGTTTCCTTCTCGCGCCCCTACGCAAAAAAAAAATAAGTGATGTAAACAACACGAGAAGGAAAGGAGCTTCGGCAACGCAATTCCGCGCGTGTATAACTTTGTATTTTCTATATGTTAATTAATAAATTAGCGCAAAAAAAAATATCACAAAGAACTTATACATATATAAGCTAAGATTGTGTGCGTCGATTCGATAATTGCGTGCTTGGAACCTATGCGACTGTCTGCGAGAATTAGCTGTTGTATTTGTTTAAAATCATCGCTTTCTTACTTACACATTTACGTGACTTACAATATAATCTGTGAAAATACGAAATACAACAATTGCACAACCCCATCTTTTATTTTTCCCTTTTCTTTTTAATTTAAAAAAAAAAAGAAAAAAAACATTTACGTTTTCTAAGTTCAATGTTTACAAGCCAATAAATTTTTCTTATCGCGCGCGTGCGCGTTCTATTTTTTTACCATTTTTTTCTCTCATGTGTTTCGTGTTCTTTGACGGGGAATCGATCGGACTCAACTCAAGGAATTATTTAAATCATGGGAGAAGACACGAAGGGTGTGTTTGTCAGAGCGAATTTGCGATCATGGCGTTTTACTCGCATGCTCCGAATTTTTTCCATGCTTTTACATATACATATATATTATGCATATACACGTAGTAATTGTACTTATCGCGGGAGTCAACAATCGGAACGCGACTGCTCGTCAAATCTTTGCGCGCGGATCGATTGCTTTGTGATCGCGAAAAAGCGATTCCACATTTGCTTTATCTATACCTTCGCTTATCTAACAAAATTTGAAAGAAACTCGACAAGCAAGTCGACGATGTTGTACTAATATCAAAACAAGACGCAAATATTGATCTAATAAAAGAAAACTAACGTTATTGATCCACCACATTAATCTAATAAACATATTGATTTATCAACAAAACTATTATCTAACGATAGAACAAATTTTTTCACTTCTACTTGCGCGACCAAACGTCCTTGACCAACATGGTGGTTATAAAAATTAGATAAGCGAGGGTGAACAAAGTAGGAAGTGTGCACTCACCGGGCTGAAGGACACGAAGGACGATGTCCTGATGAAGGACGATGTAGGTCCCGTAGACAATGATGTATACGTAGGCAGCAACCACATCTGTGTAAAACAACGCATTATTATTATTATTATTATTATTATCAATAATAAACCAAGACATTCAATAAACGAATTATCGTCGTCAGTGCGATTCACTTACATCGAACGCGAAATTCGCGATCGGCGAGATTCTGTTCCCCCCCATCTTCCAGTTTCCCATCTCCTTCCGAAATCCAGCCGATGTCCGAGGGAAAATACGTATCACACTCGCGTGTCTCACGAATTAGCCGCGCGAGGAAATCGATCGATTCCGAAGAATTTTGGCGAAAAAAATCACCAATAAACATTCCGATTCAATCGCTCACCACGGCGCAAGTCGGCGGAATGGCAAATGGCGAGCTGTCGGTGCGTCCATCTAGCGAGGACCGAGTGCAATTTGAAATTTCTACCTTACCGACGTGTGTAATTTTATCTACAGAGATGATTTCCTTCTTTGCCGAGAGAACGCGCAAAAGGGTTTGTATCTTCCTCATTTCTCCGCACGAATCTAACCTCGCTCGTAATGGCCGCGTTCACAAACAGTGAGTCAGTAATTTTCTGTGATTAAATTTGTTTTTTTGGCACGAGAGATATTTAAATGAGTATATTCGCGTGGAAAACAAAATGCGTGGCACACGCGCGCGCGTCCGTAACTTGAGTTCTGAATTTTGTTTTCCGAGAGAACGTGTTTTGTTTTTTTTTTTTTTTTGACGTTATAGTAACACAGTACTCTCATATAAAAGACTTTTAAAAAGCTGCGTTGAATAATAACAATAAAAATAATGGAGAGCGCTCAGTCGTTGTACATCAGTCTCTTCAGCGAGGAAAAGAGCGACGTTCTAAAAGAGGTCAGTAAAATAATAATATACACACTTGCTTTTCCGTTATCAATGACATGTTGTATAACAACTTTGTGTGTATATTAAAAAGCTGTTACATGCCTGTGTCGACGAAATCTGTGGCCGTCCAGGGCCGTCGTATCACAAGTTTATCAACAGTATGGATTGGAGCAAGGCGGAATATGAAGGGGTTTACAAACTGATCTCAGCACTGTTGAGAAATCCTGCTTCATTGTACATGGTGGAGGAAAAGGTACGTTGAAATGTGCTTGCGCTGTAATCAATCGCTTAAATCTAGCTTTGTCAATTATTAATCGCAGTGTGATAAAAAGGACATACCGTAAAAAAAATGCACATAAATGTTGTTCATAATTTTAGAACATTTAAATAACTTTTTTCTCAATTATCGATCGCAGTGTGATAAAAAGCTAGGAGAACGTGTTGTAAAAACGCATGTAAATATTTTGCTTATAATTTAAGAAAAACAAATAACTTGGTTTTTTCATTGTTGATCGCAACGTGACGGAAAACTGTCGAGAGATATTCTCGTCGAAACATGAAGTTTGTGTCTACTCTTAGAGAAATAAAATAAATTTTCCAATTGTTGATCGCAATGTGATAGAAAGCTATCGGGATGTGTTTACAATCTTAGGAAAATGAAATGAATTACTTTTGATTCTTAATCTTCGATCGCAGTATGACAGAAAGCTATATTGTGGGACATGATGTGAAAACGCGCATAAAATTTTGTTTGTAATTTTAGAAAAAAATGAAATAAGTTATACCGTAACGCGCGTGCATGCGAGAGAGAGAGAAGAAAAATGATTGTTTCAGATGCCGCAAGAATATCACGAATTACCCGAGCAAGTGCAACAAAATATTCTTACTTGCTTGAGAGTGCGTAGGGAACAGTTGACAAACGCGTTATTGAGGGAGCATTACAAAAGAAAGCTGCCGACAGTCGTGGATTTTGATTGGAGATTAAAAGTACGTTACACAAACATCACACAACGATCATTTTTACTCGTGTATTTGTTTATTATTAGATTTATTTGTTTCATCACATCTTTCGCAGCTGGTGATGGGATCGAGCAAGATGGCTTCCTTGCGAGAATCTCTTCTTCAGTTGGATCTCACAACGGAAGACGCAGAATCTCGGCGCGTCACGAACTTGGAACTCAACAAGGATGAGTTGGACACGGTAATAAACGCTCTGGAAGCCGCGGTGTGACATTTTCTGATTTATATTCTCTCTTTGTGTGTGCAAAAAACCAAAAATTGATTTATATATATATATATATATATATATTTGAACTCACTTATGTACATATTTAACGCTCTCTGTCATGCTACGAATTGTCATAAAAATTATAAATTGTTACGTATATTAAAAATTGTCATTGTACAGGGACGGGGATTTGCGTGATGAAAGAAATAAATAAATACTCGCCGCTGGATATACACTTTTTTGTTTCACAGTTTATTATAGGTTATAGATAAATGTAGAATAGTTTAATTACTATTATTAACTGCTGATCGAAGATTACTGGAGACTGTACTTTCGCGTCTGAGGCGACTTCGATCCAAAAGTCTCATTCATAATTTTGTTGAGTTCCGCGCAAAATAAATAAACGAGCGAGGTTTGCCTCGATGGCGCCTCAGAGTGATGACGATCGCTTAGAGAACGGTGTGGGGTGCACAAGAAATTCAGTCAGTCTCGGGTCGCTCGTGTGAAAAATTTTTTTCGATTAAAAAGTTTCGCTCTCGTCGCCCAAAAAACGTGTCGCTCCGAGAACGAGTTTTTTTAAATTTTTTTTTGTTTTTTTTTTCTTTTTTGTTTTCGTTGTAAAGATCATTGCGGACAGATATATTTAATGTGTGTATATGTGTGTGTGTGTGTGTGTTTGTTTGCTTGCTTGTTTGTCGTGTATGTGTGTGAATGTGGGTTTCTTTTAATCTATACAACTTTTTTTTTTTTTTTTTTAATTTTATACTTCCATTCCGCTCTTACATTTATAATATGTATAATATGTAAAACCCGCTAAATCAATGCCGATTCACGAGTGAACGCTCACTACCTTTCTCTGGGACACTGCGGTAAATTTCCGTGTGGAGCGTGTCACACCGTGTGATGCGCTTCATCTCTCGTTTACAAAACTTCCATTACTCTCTACGCTACGGTTTTTCTTAATAAAAAAAGCTTCTTCGTGTGGGTTAATAATTACTTTTTTTTCTCTCGGAGATCCTCGTATAAACGTAGAAACGTAGAAATATGTCGTATGAAAAACTTGAAAAAGGTATCCGTTCCGGTTGATAAAATTGTGCATTATGTATTTTTTTTTTTCTCGTAAATCGTAATTAGGCGATACTTTGAGATGATTATCATAAAAATTACGATAGGCTTTCGTCATAAGTGTTTCCCCCTCCTCCTCCTCCTCCCGTCCGGAGAAATATAGCATGTTTCGAACAAACGCCGAATTTACACAAACGCATTCTCTATAGTCTAGATTAATATATATCACTTACATCTCATCTCGACTTACTGTATATATTTATCTCGTACGCTCCATAGTACGTATATACGTATACGCGGTGTAAATGTCCTCTTCTTTTTTTTTTCTTTTGTTTACGTGTATTCTCGTGTGTCGTAAAATGTGTTTTTCTTTCTTTTCTCGGTGTGCTCGCATAAGCGCCTGTGTGTGCGCGCAAGTAATATCGAAGTCATGTTTAAAAAATGTGCAGAGTTCCTCGTTACAACGTAAAACCATCCCCTTCTCCTTCTCCTCCTCTCTCTCTCTCAAATTGTACAGACGCAAAAAACAAAAACAAAAATAAAAATAAAAAACGGAAAACCAAGGACCGCGAAGGAAATACGAGCGAAAACAATATTTGTGTCTCGGGTGCCCTCGAGAGTCGCCAATGCGAGTGCGATTTTTGTTTTGTTTTGTTTTCTCTTCTTTACTCACACACATACGAACTTTTTGTAACATGTATCGTTGAAAAAGAATCTTTTTTTTTTTATTTTTATTTTTATTTTTGCTTCTTCCGGTTTTCTTCCTCTCGCGTGAATTCTGTCATTTTTTTTTCCCTGTTCTCACCGTGGCAAAGATTCACTCCTCAAACATTGTCGTTTCGCGCGCGCTCTCTCTCTCTCTCTCTCTCTCTGTCATACTCTTTTTCTTCTCACGCCTTTCGCAATCGTTACGTAATCTCACGCACAGCCTGCCCTCGAAATTTCTTTCTCTACCGCTGTTTTCGAACTTTCATTCTCTTTTTCTCTCCCTCTCATTCTCTCCCGCTCATTCTCTCTCACTCGTTTAATCCGTTTTTTTTTCTCGTTCTTTCATTCTATCTCGCTCACAGAGTAATATTATAGTATTAATGCAATTACGCGAAGAGCGCTGTCCAATGAGTATTTCCTCTGGAATGCGCGACGAACGAGTTTCTCGCCCTTTATCATCATCTCGACGATCTTAATTAAGCGCTCCTATCATTTTTGCTCGTCGCGCGACGTTCGAGCATCATAGACTTACTTCAGTAACAATTTTTATTATTATTTATGACACTTTAAAAAATTTCTACACACGCAGCAGAGCGCCGGTTGTTGCGACTCGCGCGGTTGGCCCGCGCAACTACCCGAAAGAGTTTCGGCGCCGCTCTGTCCAATCTCGCGTGTCGCAAAGAATGAAACGAGCAAGTCTCTCAATTAATGAGAGAGAGAGAAAGAGACGGAACAAATGTGTCAACTATTCCAATAGAGAACATCAAATGTTCTTTAAATAATACAATGATCGTAAATATTCTCTTTCCTTTCTCGTTTTTTTTTTCCGTTCGTTCTGCCGTTTGATAATTAATAAAGCCTACCACGGAGGTCTATATATGCTCTCGCGATGCCGCGGTAACAAACACATCGTCATCGTCGTCATCGCCGTCGTCGTCGTCGCCGTCGTCGTCGTTGTTGTCATCGTCGCTCCGTTTTCCTCTTTTGTTGCGCTCGTAACGAAAGAACGTTATTTTCTGTTTTATTTAGTTGTTGTGCAGGAATGGTCCAAATATCATACATATCTATATAATATAATTTTTTGGTTTTTTTAACGTTGGAAAAGATTTTCTTTTTTCCAAAAAAATACAATTCAATTAGTGGCGCTTATTCGTTTATGTTGTTTTGGTGATGCGCGTCAGCGATGATTTCCTGCAAAAAGAAAATTTATGCTCGCTTGATCCACTTCTGTATATAAGACAGAGACATTTAAGTCAAAAGACTTTAACAACAACTTACATTCGTATTGCATTCAATAGCTTCGTTAACTGCCGCCGCGACCGCTTTATCGCTTATGTCGATCTCCTCGATGGCCTATTAAAAAACAAAACAGAAAGAGAAATAAAAGCATTAATAGCGTTAAACGATTGCCTAGTCATCTTAAAAAGGTGTAGCACCCGTGATATTAATGATCAGATGGCCCCTTCGCTTCGTTTATCTTCGTCGGTCAATAAACTTGATAATGACCTTCAGTCTCATTTACGCTCGTCGAGCGTAAATGATCGCTTGGCGATCATCATGCTCATGCAAGAATCATATCAATTTTCAAGCATCCTTCTTATTATTTAAAACGGGATAAGAAGACTTTAATCTAGTAATCACACGCGTCAAGACGCATTATTAATTTTCTCACAGTTATGCAAATCGTCATTTAACATACTAATGGTTTAACAGTTTTTCAAGAGGTTAAAACCAGTTTGTTGAAACTTTCAAATTGCTATCGTCTCAAAACCATATCTTTCGTACAAAATACGAGGAAAAAATAATAATACTTTTTTATCAAAACCTAATCAAGAAATAAAAATCTTAAGAGCCAAACGCTGAATGTATGTGTGTGAAATTTACGATTCACTGGCCGAGATGTTCTTTTTCTATCGTAATGGGTTCTTTAAATTTCATAGGAAAGCAAAATGGATAATTTGCATGTATGAGATGCAAATTAAGATGAATTTTCAAATTGAATTTAATTCGAATTTCTATAAACTCAATATACATAGAAATATATATTATTTTAATATATTATTTTAACAATATTATTATTTAGTATATTTTATAATTTGACTACTTTTTACACACATATTATTTTGTGATTATTTTATAATTTCATACTTAACATATGTTGTGTATTAATTTGCGCGTTTAAAACAAATATATCTTGCACGTACATCCAGCGTTCGGCTCTTGAGATTCTTATCTCTTGATTTTAGTTTAATATTAAAAGAGCAGCTTTTTATTGAAAATACTTTCAATTATCTTTTCTAAATTGCAAAACAAATAAACGCGTTATCGAGAGTGAGCTGAGAGCTGTTCGGGCTCTCTCCTCTCTCGCATGTACTCGGGAGTTTAACAATCGATTGACGCTATCCGTGCATCATCGACAATGACTCACTCCGGGCTAATAATAGCGCGGAGACATGGTATATATGATTGTAATCTTCAGACTGCGGCTAGAATGGGAATATACATATACAATACACGTATATATCACCTTGGTGACCGAGGCGACGTCCTCGGTGATAGCGGGCGCTGTTGGCGGAGAGGCGGGTGCCTCATTCGGGACGGCCGGCGGCGCGACTTTGGGTGCCTCGTCGACGCTTTCCGTCGTGCTTACGTCATGGGCGACATTGTTTTCTACTGGCGCCTCGGCTTCCGGAGCCTTCTGCAAAGCATAATTTCTGCTCGTTACCTACCCCCGCGTTATCGTCATCATTATTATGTTTTTTTTTTTTTTCGCATTTGCTTTCGTTCTCTTTCTTCAAAAGTCCAAAATCCCAACATGCGAGGACGAGAGACGATTGAGATCGATTCTGCCGGACGATTTCCGTTCCGAAGAGAGAAAGAAAGAGAGAGAGAGAGAATCTCTCGAAACGAGATCTCTGTCTCTTTTTCATCTCATGAATCATCGTCGAAACTTCTCGCGTGACTGTCACAAACGAATCATCGCGAGATGCATATGTGTTGCGATTCAGATATGAGATAGCGACCGTCTTTGCTCGGGGATCTCGAAATCGTTCTTCGTGCACGTGATGTGCATTAAGTGATTCTAATTTCCGATAATATATAACACAACAAAAGGAATGCTCGCAACGTTGAAATATAAAAAAACAAAAAAAAAAGCTGTTAAGAGTAACTAAAATTATACTTTTACGCCGCTAATAAACGTAAGAACGTCTCTCGTTCTATTAAAGTACATGTGACTTTGCATTTACCGCACACAATGTTGCGCCTTGACAATCGCAACACCGGCTATTACCTCTTAGCTTGAAGCGCGGCGCGGAACGACGAAATGCCTCGGCAGAATCGTTTCGTCATGCTTCGGGCAGCGCAAAGAATTGAAAAATTTTCCCGGCTGGCGAACCCTCAGATAAGAAAACTTCGGCATGCGCAAGTATACAAGATGCTTACGACACAACAGATGCAATTATTATACGAGAACAGCACGACAGTATAAAAAGTATTGAGCTTTTTTCTAATGAGAAAACATCTATGAGAAAATCTAGAAAATGTCAATCATCTAAGCGCGTGTGTGTCATTAGTCCAACTATTCGCTTCGACTTTTTTCTTTTTTTTTTTTTTTTTTTTTTACGTCTATCAATGAGATTCACTAGAGAGCACTTCTATTAATATTCTATAAATTAAATTCGAGCGTCTAAATGTTAGATTAGTGTGTAAAGAGACACGAAATAAGATAAACAATTTTCTACGGAATTCAACCGGCGCGCAACTGACATCCAGCTATTCGCCGCGCCATTAATATACTCTCTACTAAAAGCGTATCAAATTTTAATTAATCGTATAAAAAGTCATGTTAATATTATCAAGAAAACCAAGAGGCAAACAACACAGGTAATTGGTGGAAGTATGTGTGTGAGGGGGGAAGAGTCGTCTCAAGGCGGAGAGAGAGCTGGAGGCGGAAGCGTTGGATTTGGCGACCGAGAAGCAGAGTAAGGCTTTGTGTTAATCATGTTCGACAGAACGAAGGATGCACACGAGACGAGACCCTCAGACGTGTTTTGGAACATCACACGGGGAACATCACGCATCGGGACGGATTTTCTGAGGACCGATTTGGCTCCGGTCGCGCATCAGCGTTTTCACCCGAACGATAAACAAAAAAATAATAAATTTGTTTCTCACAAAAACGAAACAAAAAAAAACAAAAAAGAAAAAAAAAAAGAAACAAGAATCGTCTCTACCGGACGTCACTGTCAGTCTCATTCGATAGTGCCCTTCGTCGAGAGAACGAAGCGGAAAGGCTGTGTGTTTACTACTGGACAGAGTCGGGAGGATATTCTTGGTGAATCGAAGTGAATGAACTCCAGACGACAGAACACTGAAAGGAAATTCGAAAGGAAGGAAGAGACTCGGGGATAGCCGATGTTTTTTTTTTGCTTCAGACTATAAGATCACAGAGACAGTGCGAACCGTACGACGAAGATACACGTGGAACGAGGCGTCCGCCAAAGAAGAACGTCTTTGGCCGGCCGCATTCATGCCAGGAGGTTGTGTTGCATGTTAGTCACCTGGTGATGCTCCTTGGCGGCAGTCGACGGGATGGTGTTCGACAACTGACACGACAAGGCCTCGTCCTGGCTTTCGGTCTTCACAAGGCGCTCGGCCGCCAGCCTCTCCGTCAACTTAACGTCCGACTGATCGTACGAATTCGGTTCACTCAGCGACGCCTCGTCATGTGAGGGGATTTGCGAGTTTGTGACGGTTTCTGTCGTTATGCCAGATGCGATACTGACATTGGACTGGAAGCTGGGACTGACAGGCGGTGTGAGGAGCGTCTCTGTCGTGTCTTTCGGACTGGCCGCGTGCTTGACGCAGGGAGCGACCCGCGGTAACTCGACCTCGGAGGACGTGTTCGGAGGAATAACTATCGTTAACGGACAAGAGAGCTCTTCCGGCGGTAAGGGATAATCGAAAGAATCTAAGCTCGGCGCCCCCGTGTCTTCGGGCGCCGGGGGAAGATCCTCGAACGAGATAGGCACGCTTTCGGGTGAGAGTACACGCGTCTGAGGTTCGCTCGAGTGCTTCTCTGAAAGGGAACACGTTGGAGCGTCAGAAAGTTCTGGCGACGAACGATCTAAGGGACAGGGTTCAATTGGCGATGCTACACGATTGTTCATTGGCGACAAAGGACACTTTTCCAATTCCTCGGTTTGCACGAATTGCGGGGGGAATGTTACTTGTTCTGTTTCAGCAGCAGCAGCAGGCGTCGGCTTCTCCTTGTCGACGAAAGACGATTCATCATCCTCAAGAATGAGAGATTTTTCTCTGAGAGCGATTTCATCCTCCATCATAGCGATCTGTTCGTTTTGAAGAGCAATGCGTTCTTCCTTGTTGGCGACGAGTTGTTCCTTTATAGCAGCCAGTTCCTCTTTTATGGTGGTCGACTCGTTCATGAGGTCGACCATCAGCTCGTCATCGGAAACGATCGGCGCGGCCGTTTCTATGAGAGCGAGGGTTGTCTCTCTGAGGGCGATTTGTTCCTCGTTAAGAGCAATCTGTTCCTCTTTGAGAGAAATTTGCGTGTTCTTGCAAGCAATAAGTTCCTCGCTAACAGCTATTATCTCCTCGAGATTTTCTTTGTCGTTTGATGTGTCGGAAGACGCTTTAGACGGCAATGTATTCTCGACGGTTAATTCGTTTTTTTCCGTATCAGGCACGTCGGCAATTGGTTCAACTGTTGCGTTTTTCGGAACGGACAGGTCTACGGGTTCTTCGAAAATCGGGATCTCTTCTGCAGGCAACGCGATATCCAATTCGTCATCGATCTTTTCCTCGTCAGGAATCACCTTGATGGAGTCGGTGGTGTCGGTGAGCTCGTCCACGCTGTCATCTTCTGGAATGACAACGGCTGGCTTAGCCTCAACCAAAATATCTTCCGAAACAGAAAGCGGACCTTCCTCGGAATCGATGAACAATTCATTCTGTGATGTTAGAGCAGCGTTTTCTACCTCGGTTTCAATCTTCGGCGGTTCGACAACTTCTGTCGCCGATCGTTTCAACTCGCTCGGATAATTTTCAACCGCACATTTTTCCAAGAGAAGATTCGAGTCTGATTTTTCAGCTACCGTTTCGTTCAAGGAACTCTCTACTTTTTCTGTGTCAAAGTTTTCCGACGATAAATGTTGCCTCACCGCCGAGCAGACACCGTTTGTTTCAATCTCGGACGACGATAACGTTCCAGTCTCAACTTTTTCATTATGTTCCGGTTTAGACGGTACATTTATCTTCATCGCGGCTTCGCGGCTATTTATCTCGTTCTCTGTTGGACACTCTACGACCGGCGAAGCGTCATTCATAACTTTATCCATCGCAACGTCGAAAACTTCATCTACCATCGAGAAGGCAACGATCGCTGGTGGCACTTCCTTATCTGCTGTTTTATGAACATAAGGGCATTCCACATTATTTTTAATGTGTAGACTCTGCAAATGTTTGATTTCAAATACATCGGGCGATATATTTAATTCTTTTTTCTCTAGTGCCGCTGTCATTTCTGCTTTAATTTCCTCACTCTCAGATACCTCTCCCATCATCGTGACGGAGCTCTTCGACACGCTCTCTAGCTCCGGCTCGATTACGGCTTCCTCACCGCAGTGACTACTCGCTAACGTTTTCGTCATCTCCGTTGCGACATCTCGAGATGTCGAGATCTCGGTCTCTACCACCGATGGGGACTCTACTTCCGCGAAGACCAAGTTCGTCGTCGGGGAGTGTAAGTCGGCAGAGGGATCGGGGAGTGTGGAGGACGCGACAGCGGGGATGGTGGTGATGGTGGTAGACTCAGCGCGGCTCTCTTGAGGGACGTTCTCGCGGGACGACAGGGACGCGTCGGGCAGTGGTGATGATGCCAGTGTCGTTTCCTCCTCAGCAGCCACGGCAGGCAGCCTGAGCGCCTCGGCCAGAGCCGTGGCGCTCGCCGCGGCCTGTCGCGCCTGCTGCAAGGGCGACGGATCTATGGGAGTTGGCGGTGGACTAGAGGGAGGCAGGGATGGGAGATCCTCAGTGGTTTTCCTCTCAATGATAGACGGCGTCGCGACTGGCTGGACACGGTAGACGGGAACCTCTACCGGGTCCGATACGGACTGACCGCCGGCTGACTGACTGACCTCGACTACTTTTTTCTCGGCCTCGACTTTTTCAACAGCCTCCTCTTTCTTATCCTCGACGGACGGGACGGGAGTGGGGGCGGAGGGAGTGGGTTCCTCTTTCTTATCCTCGACCGGACTAGCGGCTGCTGGCGACGCTGCGGCGGCCTCCTCCTTCGACTCGGTCGCGGCTGCTACCGGCGCGGCTACCTGCTCGTCCGCCGATGGACTGCTCGCCGACGACTTCTCCTCCACCGGACTGCTCGCAGCGGCCGTCTCTGCCTCCTCACCACCCTGAGACAATTGAGAACACATCATCTTAGATGGTGTTCGCTTCGCGCACCTAAGGCTCTCATCGCGCGAGAAAAACTTTTCCCTACGACTTTAAACAACACCACAAAAACACTCGATTTCAAACTTTTTGTTGCATCGCATGTAAAACAAAAAAACAAAAAAAAATACATTTCCACATGAAGTAGAAATTAGACAGCGATTTCGCGTAGAAAAATCATCACCATTTAAACGACCGTTCTGGCATTCGATCAACCCCGCGTAAAATGAGAAAGGTAGGTCGTCGTCTCCTTTCCCGCGACACACAGATGTGGCACAATGGAGAAAAATGTTGGTTCAGTCGAGCGCGATATTATTTTTTGTCCCGTCATGAGGGGTGGCCGCCGACGATTGTAGCACGCTCTCTCTCTCGAAGCAAGGGTGAGGCTTTCCAAGCGAGTCGAATAAAAACCGAGGGGGCAGCTTAACGATACGTTGACGCGGAACGAAGGAGAGAAAGAGAGAAAAAAAAAGAGAACACGCGAGCGTCTAAAGAGGCGTTTGCACATACGAGGGAGGAGGTGCGCAACGAGGATCCTCGCCGAATCATCAACGTTCTCACCCTTTAAGAACCGTGTCAATTGTGTCAGTGTGTCAATATGAGTTCTTTATTATTATTTTTATTATTATTATTATTATAATTATGATTATTATTAAAACGAAAACGCAATTCGCATAAAATATCACGCGCGATTTGCGCGTCGCCGCGTTTTATAAATAAACGATTGCGTCGCAATTGCCGCGCGTGTAAAATCATTCGTCGCGCGAAAGAAGAGACATCCGCACATAATATACGCGTAGGCAGCACCACCGAGAGAGAGAGAGAGAGAGTGTGTGTGTGTCGTATCCGTTGGTTCGCATAATTCTGTTATCAGCGCGGTAATGTAATACACAGATAGGCACGAAGAAGTGCGCAGCCGGATGGAAACACAGGCATGTAACGTTTCGCCGACGCGAACGCTATTACGTTCGGAAATTCCTGAGATGTTTGAGATGCTTCCAATAATATAGTAATTTGAGCGCGCGCGAGGTATTTGTGTTGCAGAATGTTCGATCTAGGATATTCGATAACGAGAATTATCTGACCGTTAATATCCCCGTTTGTTAAAAATACAGAGCAAATAATTCAATAATAATAATAAGAAGAAGAAGAACAACAACAAATTTTTATTAAAGATTATTATAATTTAATATAAATAATAATAACAAAATTATATTTTATTATTACATCCAAGTAAATGCAAAGAAGCAAAACGGTCTCAAAATAGAGTTCGGAGTATAAATTTCTGTAATTGTTGATTTATATACGACCAGTTCCCGTCTGGCGAGTCGTTTATTTGAGGATTATCATTAATCTTCGACCGTGAGCGCGGTGTTGAAGAAACGTTCTCGCGATAATACTTTCTCGCGTAACCCAAGGCGGCGAAGAGAGCCACGAGACAAAATCAATTCTTGAAACCCGAGAGGGAAACAGAAACCGGACGTGAGAAGCGCGTCGTGTGCTTTATTGTCCTCTCCTCTGCGTTCCGCGCGCGCGTATCGATCGTCCACGTAGTTCCCTCGTAACCCCCTCCTACCCCCCTTTCATTCTCCCAATGTGGATTTTGCTAAAGGATAGATGTGTGTATATATATATATATATATATACGTGTGTGTATCTCGCTTTAAAGAATTACAACAGCGCCCAACAGAGAGCCCCTTAAGAGGCGTTCGCTGCAGTTCGCTTTTAACGTCGGTTGCACCCGGAATTGTAATTTTATTCTTCTTGTAAAGAAAAGCCGTCCCCCCCCCTCCCTCGTAAGAAGTCCCGTGAGACGATGTTTTTTGATGTATAATGCAATAGGATGGGTAATTTGCATCTCTCACAGAAAGGATTTCTCGGCGATCGTTCGTAATTTCCGTGCAAATGTTCTCCACCACTTCTCCTTCCCGGCTCAATTACATTTTCCGCGTTACAAACTCGAATCTCGCGACGAAGCGCCGCGCCTCCCCCGAAAATCCGTCTCTCTGTCCTACATTCTACCTCTGCGACCTAATCTCACGGGCGCGGCGTTTAGACGCGCTCCAAATTCTGTTCAAAACTTTTCGCGCGCGGGAATTCTTCCACTTCCGACGATAGTCGGTATAAACGTCGCGAGGTGAAAGCGACCGTAAATGGATGCTCGTGTCGCGAGAAGAATTTGGCCTAACACCAAAAGGGTAAAAATGCGCCGTCAAAAACTGGCGATGGGCCAGGGTCACGTGTACATACATCGGTCGAGTGCATTGTCCGCTCCGAAAGAGGATACCGAAGAGTTAGTCGAGGTAATGAACTTCCGGTTGTGCGGCGCGACTTCTCTTCTTACGAAATCGAACGAGAAATTGCGAGACCATTTCTCTCTCTCTGTGTGTGTGTGTGTGTATGCGCGTTCGAACTGCCGACAACGTTGGCCGACGACCAATTCCGAGTAGGTTAACGACAATCGTTCGTGAGACGTGCCAGAAAAGTTGGATACCAATCGCGCGTTGCATCTACCCCGCGCGGCGGAAATTATGCACGCGCAATCGATTCTTTCCCGGGACGATTCGCCAGGTTTTTTTTTTTTTTTTTTTTACAACATTATGTCGTTTCGCGCCTCACGAAAACGTCGGAGAAACAAATTATCGACAAGTACACGGGGGAACAAAATGAAGTTCCTCCAATTAAAGTCGACGTCACGGGCTGTTACAAAAATAAATATTGCGCGTGCGATTAATATTTCATCCTAATCCTTGTAAACGTTTTTTTTTCTAACTCTGTAAATCCTGACGCGATTTTTTTATTGATTAAATGTTGCAAAATATCTGTAAAAGTTCGTGAGGCTTGATTCAACATTTTAAATTAAAAAAATGACACAAATCTTGACAGGATGTTATTGGAATTTTCCCACTGAGTAGTTGATGTCTCATTTTCAAAAATCACTCTCAAACTCCAAGTTCAAAGGTTTGCAGGATTAGGGCTAGTATCTAAAGCAACTATCTGCTGTGTAGTTCCAATTGATGTTGCATCAACAGAGGATATACTTCAATTAATTGATCTTGTTGATTCGACATCCATTTTTTTCCGCACGTTCTCGTCATTTAATTAAGGTTCAATGGTGTAAATTTTTGTTTCATTCCGATACGCGCTGATGATGATTTCGGAACACTTTTGTCTCGCGGAATATTTAAAACAAAAAAAAACGAGCACCTCGTGCAATACACGTTTCAATGAACACGGATGTCAAATGCATTCGTCATAAAAGAGAGAAAAACGTTCCGGCGCGTAATATTCTCGTTGATTTCGACAAATGCGCGCCTGCGCGCGTAGTCAAATAAACAAAGTTGCGTAATTTGCGATGTTTTCAGTTCCATTTTGAAAACCAGGCAAAGGAATCAAGTTACCACGCACGCGCGTATCATCCTCGTGTGTTTATCTTTCAATGTCGTCGAAAGATTTGCACAGTAATACGGCGCGCGTAAATTTCGCGTGCATTTTCGCCGGAAATTGTTTACGACCGCGCCATCAACGTTACATCGGCTAAACGTTGTTTCCGAGATACGAAAAGTGAGTTAATTCCAGGCTTGACGGGCGGCCGTTTGAATTTTTAATCGTTCCGTTTAAAACGTTAAAAAACTCGTCGTCGAACGAGCTTCGCGGCGATAGAATAAAACGAGAGACGGAAGAGAGTCAAACGAGGCGCTGGAACTTTTATGCCCTCACGAGCACGAGGAACATTAGAAATGCATTAGCCCTCACTCGCAACCGTGTATCTCGAAACGACCCTCGTGACACAACCAACATGTGATCCCTCGCAATATAAGTTCGCAAATTCTCTCATCCCCCCTCACAGATTTCGATAAAATTTAACAGATTTATATTAGAGTAAACTCGCGCGCGCGCAGAATCGAACTTTAAAAGTCCGTCCGAAAATGATTTAACAAGTAATTTGGACGCTACGCATTTCGGAAACATTTTTTTGAATATTTTATTAATTTATTTTTTGATTTTTTTATCATCATAGAGGAAATTCTTTTTTTTAACGCGTTGCGAGCTGTGATGCTCATCCAACCGAATTATCTTAGTCGCCATGACAGCTGGCGCTCGATACCGTAATCAATTTCCTGTTTGGCAAAAAAAAAAAATCAGCGCTCGGAGCGCGAGAACACGGCTCGTCGGGACGGGTCGCGCGCTCGAACACAACTGTCGCGCGTCTCGTCGCCACTATACAAAACCTTTTACTCGTTCGCGACGAGAGCGAGTTTTCTGCGGCGTCGAAATGTTACAAATTAACGGTCGATATTTCGCGACAGAAAATTGTTTATTAAGTTTCACACGCACGAGAGATAGATGAGAGCGTGTCGTCAAAGTTTGTAACGAGCTGTCATTACGCGCTTGTATTTACGAACGTTATTATTATTACGCTTGGCAATAAAGCGCCTGCGGAACGAGAGATCTGCAGGACGAAAATGGCGCGCACAACACAACCAGCCATCGACATTCCGGAAGTAATCTCGCGTATTTAACGAGCGTGACTTAGACAATAGCCGCGCTAATGATTCACAGGTGTTTCGCGAGGGACTCTCTCATCGATGTATCGACGTGTGTTATTCCTCGACATATATCACACGAACATAACGCGCCGCGCGACAGCCCAATCTCGCGCGCGCATTTTTCAACACAACGCGGGATAATATCGCGCGTCTCGAAAGACGATGCGCGACCCGAGCGATACGCGCAAAGCGAGCAACAAAACTATCGTTTGTTTTTAACTTGGCCATTCTTTCTTGTAGATATAAATTACGGGCATTTATCCGGTTCACCGGAGCATGTCCGCCGGTAATATCGCGCGCGCAACGTAAAACGCGATCGGTGTTGAGGGAGAGGCGCGCGCGCTTTCAATGTATGCGTTTTGTTCGGTGGACGTTCGAAAAAGAGAGAAAGAGAGAGAGAGAGAACTGCCCAT